CCTTCAGCGACGACTCTACGTCTCAAGCTGATCCGAAGCCGCTCGCCGTTGACACGCCTTCGCAGCTGGAATCGGGACCTCTCAGCTCGGCTGACTTGCTTCTCCGCTTCTCCAGCGATGCAGCAGTTCCAGTCCGGTTCCCCTGCCGCCATCCGGTGACTTCAAAGAGCTTCTAAAAGAGCAGCGGCGTTGTTGCAAATGCCGCGCCGTTATTGCGGCTCGTGCGGGTCTCCCCTGCACGCCGATGACGGCCACACGGAGTGCGTTTCCTGCTTGGGGAAACCCCATGCGGAAGCTGTGCTCACGGGAGCTATTTGCTCTCATTGTGAGAGTTTTAGTCTCGCCTCTCTCCGCTCACGGATCGCTTTCTTTTCAGAGAGCGACTCCGCCCCCCGCGCCCTCCCGTTTTCTTCCTCCCAGGGACCTGTGAGGAAAAAACAGAGGGGTCGAGCGATCGGCCACGAGCGAGCTCACGCCGGCCAGATCCCACGTGCCTCGCTCTCGCCGCAGGTAGCAGACGCAGTACTCGTTCCCGTATCTCAGGGAACCGAGGTTACGTTAGTAACGGAGTACGTTTTTATTGTAGCATTTGTATAGTTTTTACCATTAAAATTAAGAAAATTTTTTAAGAGTAATTTTTTTGTAAGGGGTCACAATAAAGTTACAGTAAAATGCACATGAACAGTTGCTTCCTGCAACAATATTCTATAATGAACCCAGATTCAGTAAGAAAGTATGCAGACAACTATACCAGTTTTGACTGCCTGCCAGCCGATAGAGAAAGGGGTCCTGGCTTGCACGATGTAGAGGGTAACAGGACTGTGGTTGTCAGGTCCGGGGCCCCACGAGAGCTGAGCAGTCCTGTCTGTGACGTCCCCCACCAACACATCCACCGGAGCACCAGGGGGCCCTGACAACATTACCGCCAAAGAGACAAAAAGGACTCACACTTGCTGCGTATCCTTATCAGAGAAGGGCACAGCAAGGTGACCAAGTACCTTGCGATGTGAGACAAGTCTGCCCACAAAAGGCGACATGCTTATTATTCAGAACCAGGGAGAGAGATCCTTCACTTGATGATGGAAATACAAAAGGTTCTAAAGAGCACGAAGCAGGGAATTAATGCATTGATTTCAGATACTCCTGTAGTCATTACTTCAAGAGCTGAATAATGGAATACAATAGAAATAGCGGGGCCAATTGTGAGGCCTTTTTAATTTATATTTGATAAATGCTCAGAAAAGTGTAGAATACTGAGCAGCCTCTGCGGGGGGAGATGCACATACCTCTGACAATTAAGTCTGCAGCCGCAGACACACTGTCCACTGCTGTATGCACCATACAGACGTACTTCCCAGAGTGCTTCAGCTGCACATTCCTGATCATAAGATCCCCAGAAGAGCCCTATAACAAAGAGCATTATATAAAAAATTTGTGAAGAAAAAAATATCTATCTATCTATCTATCTATCTATCTAAAAGTCCGTCCGTCCAACCATCCATCTATATAGCCCCGATGGTGTAGTTTGATTGCTATACACTACTATTTATAAATGTTTTTGAAAGAAGTCTCTTATGTTCACCAAGGCTGCATTTGTTTGTTTAAAAATACAGTAAAACTAGTAATATTGTGAAATGTTATTGCAATTTAAAATATCCATTTTCTATTTCAATATATTTTAAAATGTAATTTATTTTTTGATGACGAAGCTGAATTTTCAACAGCTATTACTCCAGTGTTACATGATCCTTCAGAAATCATTCCAATATGCCGATTTGCTGCTCAAGAAACATTTGTTATTATTTCCAATGTTAAAATGGTTGTCCTTCTTAATATTTTTGTGGAAACAATGTTTTTCAGGATTTTTTAATTAATAGAAAGTTGAAAAGGATATTAATTTGAAACAAATTTGTAAAATTCTAATTGTCACTTTTGATCAATATAATGCATCCTTGCTGAAAAAAAGTACTAATTAATTTTTTTAAAAATCATAAAATTTTTGAACAGTAGTGTATATTTTTATGGTACTACCGTGGTACTTAAATGGAAACCTAAAAGTCTCTAAAATCAAGTATATATTTTAATTTTTGTAGTTACATCACATTTGAAAAACATCAAGAAGCAAATAGCAGTAGCAAAAAGCTCTCATATTTGATTGGCTCTTCAGTTCAGATAGGGTCCTTTTAACTTGTTTGGACAAGCAATCCTTCTGCTGTTAGTGAGAGCCCACCATTTGTGCATTTGTTCATCGGTCTCTCCAGGTTCTCAAAAGCAATACTTGGCAACTTAAAAGCTCTGTGGATGATCTACAGAGTGAGAGAGTGGGTCCTGTTGATTGCTATTTGAGGTTCACTGTGTGTTAAACAGAGTACGATGTAAATCCTGTAATCACACAGATTTGTGCCTCTATGTTCAGAGAGCAGCCAGGTGCCCTTGTACTCAAGTTCCCCCCATTGCTAGCTGAGCTAAAAAAAAAAGTTAAAACACCAGATTCCAAATCATTCCTCACTCGCATTCCTCTACCCCGAGTGATTTCAAAGAGGAATCCAAGGCTGCAGTAATTCAGAAATACAGCATTTGTAGCTTTGAATTATAATGACTGACAGAAACGCACCCCTCCAATCATCCCAAAGTGATCGTGTCGAGTGAAATCAATGAGCTTGCCGTTGAAGAACCACTTGAAGATGGGGTGTAGAGTGGAGTCTTTAGATACTTCACACGGCAAGACAATGCTCTCCCCCACTGTGGCATCCATACTCAAAGGAGGGACTGTAATCTTGGTTGGTTCTGCCAAAATAAAAAATGTTTTAAGTGAGATAAAGGGAAGAAAGGACTAGGACAGAAGTGTTGAAGGTCTTCAGTTATGCATTAATTCATGAGAGTTTTCAGGTTTGGAGACTCAAGGGCCAACCAGCTAAACAAACTGAAAACCAGCCTGGGAAAACATCCAGGCCAGCCTAAACCACCTTAAACCAGCTAAAATCATAGATGAAGTTCTTTTATTCAGCAGGTACTTGTTGATTCACTTACTAGGCATCACAAAAGAGAATCGGTCTCATTTTAAAATTTAACACAAACAAAATTATACTTTTTTTCATTCAGTCCTGAATTTCAATAACCCTACTTGAAGCCATCAAAGTGTTCAAAAACATGCATATGTAATGCCATAAGTTATTAAAGGAGTAAATTGAGAAAAAAAAAAACTTGCAACACCAGCATATTTTTAATTAAACATGCAGAAAGTGACTGGGGAGACGAGGATGAAATCCGCTCCCGGTGCTGTGGACGGCTCGGATTTTTTTTCACACTAACGGCTGGACCAATAACTCACACATGACAAAAGCTTGGATGAGTTATACCTCTGTCAAACCGGCAGGAACATAAAACAACTATATATTTCATTATCAATTTCATGCTTGGGTTGCTCACTGTTTTTCCACTGGTTCTCATCCGGTTTAAGGCATCTGCTTAGAAGCAAGAGAAATGTGCTGTTTGTGAAATGTGAAAGGTGCTTTACCTTTGACCACTAAAGTCCCAGAACTGCTGGATGTACCGAAGGGGTTTCTGGCGACACAAGTGTACCTCCCTGCGTCGGATTTGGTTACATTGGCGATCCTGAGAGTACCGTCCTCTGAGATGGTCCGCCTGTAACAGTAAATAAAAATTGTTGGAACAACCAATGATATCTTCATATAACAATGCTGTTCATTAAATAATAAATAAATGTTTTATTTATATATAGTGCTGTCAAACGATTAATTGCGATTAATCGCATCTAAAATTAATTTTTTTTTTACATAATATATGTATGTGTTACACACTCATATATTATGTAAACAAAAACTTTTATTTTGGATGCGATTAATCGCTATTAATCGTTTGACAGCACTAATATATATATATATTTTTGACAATTAATACTTTCATCCAGAATTATGAAAGTATCATGAATTAAATTGACCAAAATTTAGCACCAAATCAGCATATTGGAATGATTTGTGAAGGATCATGTGACACTGAAAACTGGAGTAATGGCTGCTAAGTTATGTAAAACAGTACAAATATTTAACAAAATAACTTTTGAACAGTTTCTTGAATAGCCCTTACCAAAAAGTAGTATACTTCAAGTTTATTTTATAAAAGTATACTTTCCTATTTTTAGTTTAAAAGAAGTATACTAATAGCACACTTGAATAAACTTCTTTTTCGTAAGGGAGTGTGTGTGTGTGTGTGTGTGTGTGTACGAAAACAGATTCTCTCACTCTCCTCAAACAGGTTTTTATTAGAAGTGGTTGTTCACACACAGGTTATGGATTTTTCATAACCCCTAACCCTCTGTATTAAATGTGTATTTGGCTGATATGAATGATGGCTAAAATTACGTAGGTTGTGTAGGAGAGGTGTGTGAGATATAGGCCTATAAGCATCCAAAATCTTCAACTATGTATTATAGAACTGTGTTAAGTAAGAGTAAAAGTATTTGGGTGGTGAAACTGACAGTCTACTGGAACAGATGAAAGAATAAGCAAAGATGGTCTTTAACCCAACACGTTCTCTGACACACAGAGTCTGCTCAGGTACTAGATCAGAGCTTTAATGTTCAAGGATACAGCAACCTTCCTTCCTTCCTTCCTTCATCTTGCCTCCCCAAAAGGAATTCTTAAAGACACAGTCTCAGCCCAACTATTCCAGACAACACAAAAACAACCATATAGTTCTCTTGGTATGCTTGTGTTTATTATTTTTTTAAGAAGTCTGAAAACTGTAGAAAATCATTCAGATTAAATAGACAGAGTTTTCAACAGGATGCAGTCAGTTAATGGGATTCTAAAAAGTAAATACTGCTTTATTAAGGCCAAGAATAAAGTGAAAGGGAAGAGGATGTAAAAGGGAAGCTGGTTTGAATTCTTAACTGCGGCCTTATCATATCCAACACATGTAAGATGCTATCGACACATTAAAAAGCGTTTCCAAAAAGGCAGCAAGAGCAGATGTGATTATGGAGCTCTTGCAGAAGGCTGTCTGGATCATGTGAGATGTTGATAGCATCTGACTGAAATGCTAACCTGGCTAGAGATCTGACTTTGTAATAGAGCTGCAACAGCACAAACAAAACAGATTCTCTCGCTCTATTCAAACAGGTTTTTATTAGTGGTGCTTGTTCAGGTTATGGATTTTTCATAACCCTCCCCAAACCCTCTGTATTAAATGTGTATTTGTCAGATATGAATGATAGCTAAAATTACGTAGGTTGTGTAGGAGAGGTGTGTGAGATAAGTGCATTGTAAGTGATAATTTATGCATCTGTTACGTTGCTGTTATGCAAAATATTTGCATTTTCCTCAGAAATTGTTAAAATTATTACATATTTCTTATTATGTATATTTCATTTAACTGGAAACTTGTCAGACATCCTGCAACTGATTTCAGAAAACAATTCTCAGAAGTGCTTCATCGACCTTGATGTACACCAACAAACAATGCTGCTTTGCTTTTAATAACTAGGAATAGAATGGAAGGAATGATAGATAGATAGATTAATAAATAGAGCAATGTAAATATATAATGTTGAGATCCGCTGTGACCTTCTCCCAGAACAAATCAAACACGAGCACAGCAGACCTGCCAGCTCAGAAATCAAACAATTTCAGCCGCCGCTTTTTAAAATAAATATGTATTTACTATGGCTCAGAGAACATGCTTTACGCTGAGAGCTTTCCTCTGATTTATTGACAAAAATATCAAACGTTGAGCGATAGAAGCGTGCGGACCAGACGACCCGTGAGCAATGAGCTGCAAAACCAATAGGAAAAAAGGCAAGAGCTATCTGCTTACGGAACGAAACTTCTGACCATACGGAGCCACATTTATATTTGCGTCAAGACATGATGGCTTTGTAATCAGTCTCTGATCCGTCCTCTCCTGACCGCCCTGTGGAATACAATGACTAATCGATGCTTCTCCTCGCATGTTGAGGCACGTCCAGAGAATCACAAAGTCTACGATGCAACACATATTGACTTGATACAAACTTAGGAGTGTGAGATGAAACAAGATTGACATGTTCGTGTTTGTACTGCTTCAAACTAAATCAGAGTGTAATTGCTGTGAAAACATTTCAGACTTAATCATATTTATCCACAAAGCATCTATCTGTGTGCCTCAGAAGGGCAGAGTACCTAAACTACCTATTAAAAGTTTGGGATTTTTTATTTTATTTTGATGTTTTGAAAGAAGTCTCTTATGCTCACCAAGGCTGCATTTACTTGATCACAAACACAGTAAAAACAGTAATATTGTGAAATATTATTACAATTTAACTTTTCTTTTTTCATATTTTAAAAGGTAATTAATTACTATGATGGTAAAGCTGAATTTTCAGCAGAAATCAATTTATTATTAATTTCATGTCACGGTTGATCAATTTAATATGTTCTTGCTGAATTTTCAGGGTGCTATATTTCCTGTATGCATAGTATACAAATGTTCTCCATGCATGGAATAAACATATAACCATACTACTGTACATTTGTCAAAATGAGCAATACAGAGCAGAGCACACTGTGTGAGAAAACTCAGTCACCATAAAATTCAGTTTCCATTGTAACAAATGAACTAGAAGTAATATTATGTGATTGGACTGTTAAAAGTACAAAATTAGATTAAAATGCATTTTTTAAATATACAGACTAAACACCAATTGCTGAAGTAAACATGCAATTTGCAATAATAATATTGCTTGAACAATGTAGTTTGAAACATTTTTGTGACATATTCTCAGTTTTACATAATGTATATTCTAACTTGTATGCATTATCAAGATCAAGATGGCGCCGCAAATGGCAGCCAGGACTAATAAACATATCTGTACATTTATCTAAATAATTACATTTTTTCCTATACTTCTATTTCTGTATATAGTACATTATTCAATTTTTCTTTTTTATTATATTAGTGTTATATTACATACCTACTGTGTTATTCCTATGTATGTCTGCACTATCATGTATGTCTGCACTATGTTTGTACTTTCTTCTACACTGGAAGCTCCTGTCGTCAAGTCAAATTCCTTGTGTGTGTAAACATACTTGGTAATAAAGCTCTTCTGATTCTGATTCTGATTATGCAGCATGCAGCATACTAATGTTCCATTCCAAACACAACTAACCAAAGCAGATTGCATGCAATAGTATATCACACAATGCAATGCACTCCACTTGACATTTCATAGTTTGAGCAAAGTGTTAAAATATTTTACTCAAAATTGGATCTGAAAAATGATAAACGAATGTCACTTGCTGAATTAAACACGGACTGTTTAATGAAATGTTATTTGTCGCATACTCCATACTACTTCACATAGACTACTATATGTAAAACATTATTATGCAGTGTGCACAGTGTGTGTGCATTAAAGTGGATTGTTAGAAGTTAAAGAGATAGTTCACCTAAAAATGAAAATTCTGCCATCATTTACTCAACCTCATGCTCTTCCAAACCTGTAGTAATTTCTCTCTTCTGCTGAACAAAAAATATATTTTGAAAATTGTGGGTAACCAAACCATTTCTGGTCCCCATTGACTTCCATGGTGTTTTTTCCCCATACTATATAAGTCAATGGGGACCAGAAATGGTTTGGGTCCCCACTTTTTTCAAAAATATAATCTTTTATGTTCAATAGAAGAAAGAAACTCATAAAGGTTTGGAACAACTTAAGGGTTAGTAAATTATGAGTTAATTTAATTTTTGGCTGAATTATCCCTTTGAGATTTTTCTACACAATATCTGAAAATAACTATTTCCAAAATAACAACTAGATGCCACTTGCTGAATTAAACATGTGCTGTTTATTTATGCATATTGCTTCAAATAGGGCACTATTTTTAAAACAACAGTATTCTGACAACAGTATATGCACAAAATAGTGTATCCCACAATGCAGTGTGCTTGACTTGACTATTTCCAAAATAATAACTAAATGCCACTTGCTGAATTAGACATGCACTCTTTATTTGTGAGTACTCCATAATTGTTTCACATAGGCTACTATTCCTAAAAGTATGAAGTACACACTACTTCATGTATGTGCAATAGTGTATCCCATAATGCAGTGGACTTGACTTGACCCTCCATTTCCTTCAACACATTTAGGTGAACTGTCAAAAGTTAAAACATTGCAATTCAAAATCTAAAAATAACAACAAAATAACTATTTCCAAAATTATAACTAGATGCCATCTGCTGAACATGCACTGTTTATTTGTGCAGACTGTTTCATTTAGGCTACTATTTCTAAATCAATAATATGCCCAATGTGCTATAATGTATCCCACAATGCAGTGCTCTTGACTTGACCATTCATTTCCTTCCTGATAGATTTGAGTGGACTGTCAAAAGCTAAAACATTTCTACTCAAAACCGGAAAATAACTGCAAATTGATAACTGGATGCCACTTGCTGAATTAAACATGCACTCACCGTTTACTGAAATCTTTTCGGCATATTGCATAATGTTGCATATGCTACAAAACAACAGTATGCGGTGTACAGTACATACTGTGAGGTACGGAGTTAAGAGTATGTTAGCACTCCATTTCAGGCTTACCCTGACCCTCTGATAGACAGTATCTGATACACAGTCTTGCACCTCTTGTCTCATTTCCTCCGTTCGCTCTAACTTCCACTCCCTCTCGCCCTTTCCATCGCTCCCCCTCTCCCTCATCCAATAATCACATCACTCCACGGAGACCCTGGGCAACATCAGTGAGTCATGGCATGTGTGTTCTCTCTCAGGTCCAGATGGACCACAGTGCACAGAGTGAGCTCCCATTGGTTATCAGTCCATCCCCATCCATTACTGGAGATCATACACTCGTCCCTCCTGCCACCTGTTCTGACATGGCCATGCTAGAACGATTCTGTCCCATTGAAACCCAACAAGAAAGAGGCAGAACCAGGGGTGTATTAATTAGTGTTCCACTAGGCACTCACTCTTGTGTGAAAAGTGCCATTAGGAAGGATGTTGTTGGTCTTGAATGTGCAACATCTGTGCCTTTGCAACTTGTGTTCGGTATGGACAAAAAAAAGGCAATTATGTTTGAATAAAACATATAGAAAAACATCACACAGTAGTGGGCTGATGCTTTGCAAATAATGACTGCTAAGAGAGAGAATGTAGGAAACGGGAAGTTAAAAAATGCATTCTCATTATAAATTATTTTTTTTATGGGAAGTAATGTTAATTTGGCATTATTTCTTCCCCTCACAGCTGATGCTTTTTTTCTGCAACATATAATTGAGCACAACTGGATTCCATTTAAGCACTTAAATTTACTTCCATTCATCAGCATTATTTTTACATTTTAAAACTCCAGGAAATGAAAATTGGGAGTTTTGTCCCAATGAATCCGATCAAAAACAACAGTAAACAATTATTATATTACACAATATTTCTATTTTAAATAAATGCTGTTCTTTTGTACTTTTTTTGTGCTGCTAAATCTAAATTCTTTAACAGCAGAACTGTTTTTTTCCACATTGATAATAATAAGTAGGGCTGTGCAAAAAATCAAATGCGATTGCAGCTTTACTGACTAGATGCGCATGAAAATCGCATTCGATTTTTTGCACAGCCCTAATAAGAAGAAATGTTCCTGATCACCAAATCAGCATATTAGAATGATTTCTAAAGATTGCTGAAAATTCAGCTTTAAAAAATTATTTTAAATTGTAAAAATATTTCACAATATTACTGTTTTAACCAAATAAAATGCAGCCTTGGTAACGCTTGTGCACTGTAAATATATTATAATTATAATATAATAATTAATATAATTTATGGATTTAGCAGATGCTTTTATCCAAAGTGACTTACAGTGCATTCAGGATATACATTTTTTACCATTATGTGTGTTCCCTGAATATATATTATATATTTAATATTATATATTAAATATACCTCTGCATTTATCAGAAAATAAATTATAGATAAAGATACATAATCCACATTCCTTGTTGGAAAAAGTATATTGTGGCATAAAATTAACTACTAATTACTAATAAATCCATGCAGATGGATGCAAGAACGCACCCTGTGTGACCAGGCCCTAAGACACTCCATCAGAACCCTGCATTACTGCGGTGCAAACAAACCCAAAGGCTCTGGAGACAACTGGAGTGCAAGCGGCTCATTTCGCACCTTTCATTAGTGACCGGTCTGCTGACCCATACCTCTTGCTGTCTTTCAGGAACTCGTTGCCTCTCCTCCAAGAGTACGAAGCTCTGGGGGATGCGTGCGGCCGGCATTCGATGATAGCTTCCCCGCCTCTCTGGATCAGTGTGGTCTTCTTCACTGTTTTTATTGAGAAGTCTGGAGGAGAGGCTGAAAGACAAGGGATTTGTGGTGTTTGGCTCAGATTTTTGATTTTATTGGACATATTTCACCACTAGAAATACTGAATACCAGGGTTCACACACATTAGACCAATTCATTTTCATGACATTTTAGTGATGCACTGAAATAAAACTTGTTTTCATGACAGATTTATTTGAACATACATTATACAATGAAGATACAACTAAAAGGATAAGTAAAATATAATGAATATGTAATATAGTATATATATTTAGCAAAAATATATATTCTAGTTGTCTGATGAGGTTAGGGAAATTAAATGGCTTTTACAAGCTGTATTACTGACATCTTTCTGCGGTTGAAACACTGATTGAGTGATTACATGAGATATATTATATTTCACCAAGTCATACTTTTTCTTTCAGCAGACCTTCTGATGTTCATACATGTTTATTTCATGCTTTAACTAACAGCAAAAAAGAAGAGATGATTGAAGAGATGACTAATATGGTTTTAAAAATCAATCCTATTTTATTGAGATTTCTGTGGTGGTTCTCCATTTGTATTCTCAGATATATCAACACGATTAAATGTATTTTAGAGCAGAACATAAATGTTCATATGGTACCAAATTCCATGAATTTCCAAGGCTTTTCCAGGTCTGAAAATCACAAATTGAAAAATCCATGTGGTTCTTTGATGACATGGAAAGATGCTTACCCACAACTTTGAGCTCAGCACTTGCATATATGACTCCGTTATCATTCTCTGCCAAACACTGATACATCCCAGAATCCATCAGGTTTATGTTGGAGATGGTTAACCCGCCACCATCAACACGAATTCTGTCCTGAGCATAAACAAAACTGTCAGGACAGATTGCATGCACCACTAATAACCTAGATATACATTTCAACATATACACTCAGCCAGCATATTTCAAGTCTTAGTACTTGGGGAGGGGTGTTACTCTAGCGGTTAGTATTATCACCTGAGAGACCAAAGGCTGTCCATTCTTGAGCCATCGGTAAACAGGTTGAGGTTTTCCATTAGCCTTGCACTCCCAGTGAAGATCAGACTCAATAGCCATGTTTGCGTCATACAGAGTCTGCGACCACTGCAGGTGTTCCACATCTGTGTGAACAGCAATGAACTACTATAATACAAATGCAGAGGTCTGCATCCTGCCTTAACACAACGGCTGTCTCTCTGAACTCTCTCCCTTGCAATGCACTGCAACAATGATGAAAGCATTGTGTTTTATAAACCACCAAAAAAAATGAGGTTACTCTGTGCACATTAATTCTAGATGATTCTTCCTGTCTTTCAGAGGAGCACAGTAGCAGTGCATATATCGTGGGCTCTCTGTGTAGACTAAACAATGCCTGCTATAGCCATTCTAATTAGTCTTGCCTTGACAATTGACAATAAAATCTATTCTTTCATTATTTATTATTTACCACAGGTTGCTGTGTGATCCGTTATCTGACTCATTAAAAATGTAAATTTCTTTTATTGATTCTCGTGCGGTAATCGCGATGGCCGACAAAACGCTGCATGGATAGGCGAGATAAGGAAAGGTCTTTTAACATTGTGAAAAATACCCTGCGCACAATTTTTTGGATACAGCTGACTAAATATTTGCAAAAAGGGCTAATTAGCATCCAATACATATTTTGACCATTTGGCTATTGTATACTTAAGTCAGTATTTGACCTTACTTTGAAATACAAGACGTCCTTTTGCAATACTACGTCCTTTGGAGTTTTCGGCCACGCATTCATAAAGTCCAGAATCCTCTGGACGGAAATATGGGATCTCTAGGACACCATTCGAGTGATTTATCTTCATTTTTCCTGGGAAGGGGCTTCCGTCCGCTCTCTTCCAGGAAATAGAAGGCACTGGACTGAGAAAAGTCAAGAAAAGATACCATATTAGCATCAGAATGTGCAAAGATGATCTATGGAGGCTTAACAGGATTCATCAAAGCAGATCATGTTACTAGTTAGTCAACATGTTACTCAATCCATTTCTGCACAGTTACAATTCAAATTTGACATATTTTCCAGTCACTTTGACGTACAGTATGTTTAATGTTTCTTAAATATTTTGGGTAATTAAACTTTTTTCAGCCATTAATTATATGAAACACTACCATTCAAATGTTTGGGTTTAGTAAGATTTCTTTTCTATTTTTTTTGAATGAATACTTATAACATTGATAATAGAAGAAATGTTGTTTGAGCACCAAATCACAAAAGATTTCTCAAGGTTTATGTGACACTGGAGACTGGAGTAATGGCTGCTGAAAACTCAGCTTTGCTTTCACAGGAATACATTTTAAAATCTTTTAAAACAGAAAATAGTTATTTTTAATTGTAATACTATTTCACAATATTACCATTTTAAAGTATTTTAATCAAAACAAACGCAGCTTTAGTGAGCATAAGAGACTTTCAAAAAATATTAAAAACTCTTACCAACCCCAAAAGTTACTCCAAAGCTTTATTAAATTTGTATTAAACGAAATGATAAATAAAACATAAAAATAAATGGTCTGCCAGCATATCTATTCTGTGTTTGATAGCCCACCAGTATCCCAGCATCCCTTAACACATTACCTGTGGACAATCCAAGGCCAGAACCCTGTCTCACCCCTGGATCACAGTCAGCAGCTGTTTTTAAAAATAATGCCTTCCCCTCTCCATCTGTTTCCTACTTCTTCACTAAGATTAAAGGATCCTGTATATTTCTGAGACATTTCTCTTAAATAAACTGCTAAGATGTACTATGTGCCAAGTGTGGCAATCCCCAGTTAGCAAAGCAACCCTCTGGAGGCAAGGAGTCCATCTGTTAGTAAAGAAGAGACCTACTTTCCTAAAGCGAAACACTCCAATCGAACTGATGATCCTTTGGCAACATGGAGCATTTTTTCAAACTGGACTTCAATCTTTGGCTCATACTCCCCCATCACAGCTGGAAAATGAGGATGGACAAGCATGAGTCTTTTAGGGTAAAACCAATGCACTTCAATTCAAATATGATTATACTTTTTTCTTTTGACAATATTTTTTCACGTCTTGTCATATTCATTAGCTTTAGTCCATCTGACTCATAACTACACTTTTATACTTAGTAGACAAAAATATAATTTTGATAAATAGATAGATTAAAACAAATAGATAACTGAATAAAATGAAAACAGATAAAAAGGTAAATAAGTGACTTTTCTGACACTTTATGAAAATGTTAATAAATATCCTATATATGTTTAAATATAATTTTTACACAAAATACTTGTTAAAGTTAATAAAAAATAAATAAATAAACCTGACCAAACTTATATTATGAAAAAAGGCATACATTATGAAAGACATTATTTTAAACATTTATCACATATATAAAACAGATACTCATAACATAACATGTGAAAACAGTGTTTTATTAGGTAAATTTTGAATTTTTAAATAAAAATACATGCAAAAATAATTTAAAGATTTATATTAAAAAGAAAAAAAGCATTGCTTTGCCAACAAGACTGTCTTAGTCAACCAGCTTTAGATAAAGATCCTGACAGTTTTGGCTATGCTGGTCGACTTGCACCAACTAGAAAATCATGTAAATTTATGCTGGCCTAAAATGTATATATATATATTTTTTTTCAGCAGGGAACGTAGATCAAACACAAGGAAAAGTAAGAAATAAGAATTAGTAAAGTAGTAAGAGTTCAGCAGTGGTCTTGCGCCCAAAATATTCATAGATAAAAATATTCAATATTCACATGAACTCAAAATATTCAAAACCTCTCCGCCCTACTTCATATACCTTGTCTGGGTGAATATTAAACAGACACTAATGACTGGTGATGTTGAGCCTCCCGGGGTATACGTGTATGTGTGTGAGGATGGAAGTCTTCTTTCTTAATGCAGAATTTTTTCTCCTTCCCTCACTCTCTCTCTCTCTCTCTCTCTCTCTCTCTCTCTCTCTCTCTCTCACACACACACACACACACACACACACACACACACAGTTGGCTGAGCATGGCTCAGAGACTATGAATACACAAATGCTACATCTCTGAGTGGCAGCAAAGCAAACACCGTCATGCTCAAATCTACTGATTCATCACTGTTAGCAGTTCCTCCAGGCTACTCACCGTCCCGACGTAGCACCACTGGAGTTGGGGAACTGTAGACGGTCGTATTGGTCATCACATTCCTTACCACACACGTGTAGTTGCCCACGTCTGACGTCTCAACTTTTGCAATATACAAGTTTCCAGTCCTCTGGGACACAAATCGTCGGTTGTCCCCAACAACAATGCTGGGGCGGCCATTAAATATCCAGGAGTATCTGATTTCTGAGGAGAAAAATTGTCAGATGACAGTACTAAATTTTTTTGCCAACTATAGATATATATAGTCATCGATATATAGACAACATGCTGCATGCCCTACTTAGTGTATAGCTTGATGCATTATGAAATAGAAAATTTGAAAACTGTTTTAAAATCTTTTTTTTTTTTTATTAAATTCAACCATTTGTGGATGAAATTTAGATGAGTATGTTCTCAGCTTGTAAGAGCTCAGCTGTGGGAAGGGAGTTTATATATAACAAGGTTAAAGCAATACAGTTTCGATTTTGACAGTCAAGCAACAGGAGCTGAAAACTAATATTATTCCATGAAAAAGGCATATTCTGGCTCTACAAACAGCTCTACAAAATCTGCATTTATTCTTCATGACTGCAAATAAACACAGCATTACAATGTAAGATGATAACCTGTGACGCAGAAATATTACGTGTGTGTGTGTGTATATATATGAAAATCATTCTGATATAATAAATGATAAGAGGAAGTTTTAAGACAAAATGATAAGAGGAAGTTTTAAGACAAAATAAATAATTACATCATTAATTTTTACTATTTATTTTCAGACAGGCAAAATACATGTATTTGTATTATGCTGGCAAATGGCATATTTCTCAAAAATAACCCTTATACTGTCAAAATAATTAAAAAGGCCATCAAAACAACTTTCAATTTTCCACCACAAAATGTCCAACGCATGCCATTTGAAAGTATCAAATTAAGCAGTGTTTATTAGAGGGCAGACAGGGGGTTAGAGTGGCTGAAATGTGGATTGATAAGGGCTATTTAAGGTCCAAAAGCATATCTAAGAGTGTACAGCAGCACTGAGGAAAAAGAACCATTTGGCTTCAAGACAGAAAAAGGTGAATTAAAACCATCATAAATGGAGTGGTGACAAGGTGAGGGACCTCTCATCATTACTGGGCACTGTGCTCAAGGCTTTTGGTCTCTTAGGAAACAAATTCACAGCCACTATAATCTGAAATCATGTGACAGAGCAGACCAATGAACACGGCTATTTATGAGTAAAAAGAGGTGACAGTTTTTTTTTTTTTTTTACTTCAGTTAGTAGTTACTGTACAGTAACGGAGAGCTGTCTCTGAAATTCACAAGGCTCAGTTCAATGTTCTAGAAAACAACCAACAGTAATTTAACATCAAAATAATACTAAAGTAACAATCAACCAAAATTACCTCTTATTGTGCACCTTATTCCAAAAAAAAAAAAAAAAAAAAAAAAAAAAC